GGGACTCCAGGATCATGACCTGAGCCGAAGGCAGTCGCTTAACCCACTGAGCCACCCAGGCGCCCTAACCCTCAGTATTTTAAAATGTTGTTGTATTTGCAGATAGGGTCTTTACTACCTAACCCTCCTGTCTTCACTTCTGTCCTTATCCAATTTTGATTCCATGTCCAAATCCATCATTTCAATTACTTTCTTGTCAACACTCTGAATTCTTATGTCCTTTTGTCTTTTTTGTCAAACTCACCCAGTAAAACTTAGCCTTGGAGGAATGTATTGCCTGCTTTCTCTGGATCTACACCAGTGTGGCTGAGCACAACTCAAAAAGGGAAAAAAAACAATTCCACAACTAGGCTGATCAGAACACTTACACCTTCATCCCTGACTAGCAACCCTACTAAATTTCTGGAATCAACTTAATTTCCCTTTACCCATGCTTTCACAACTATTTCCAATTTTTTAATTCTCTCCTATCATGTTCCCTCCCCATTTCTAAATGATCACACCTTATATTGCAGAGAAAATGAAAATCATTAAGAGAATTACCATCATTATCTCACTACAAAAATCTATGACTTTCCGCAGCTATCAGGTACTCCTTCTGTCTTTCTACAATGGCTGTGTCCCTCTTATCTAAGGCCAAGCCCACCACATGAGCCTGAGACTACAGCCCTTTTAGTGTTCTCAGGGCAATTTTCCCTCTCCATTAGCTACTTATCAGCACACTCAAGTCTCTCTCATTTTAAAAATCTTTCCTTAACAAATAACCAGATCCTTCCCCTTTCTGCTGTTTCCTTTCTCAATAAAGGGCATGACAATCCATCCACTTGGTTGACAAAGACAAAAATTTCAAAGCTGTTCTTGACATCTCCATCTTATATCCCATATCAATCACCAAGTTGTATTCAATCTACCTCCTAAAAAACATCACTCTTCTACTCATACTACCGTCAATTAAACCAGGTCACTTCCATGATCACTTGGACCAATGCAATAACCAACTAACTAGCAGATCCAGACTCTGGATGCCTCCAATTCAATCTCTGCACAGAAGGCAAAGAAAAAAAATTTTTAATACTGATCTTTTAAAAATGCAAATCTGATCCTATTACCTACTTAAATATTCTTCACTGGCTTCTAATTACTCTTAAAGACAGAAACCCTTCACTGGTCCTAAAAGATCCTACATGATTTGGCTCACACCCACCATTTTCAAGCATGGTTTTTGAGCCACTTTTCCCTCCAGCCTTTCTTTCTTTGATGCTTCAGGGCATTCCACAAGCTGTGGTCCTCACTCCATCCCTTGAGATACTAATTAGCTGAGAAATGCTTAAACAAAATAGAAATAAATTATTCTTCACAAGTAGTAACAAAAAGCCTTTTTTTTCTTCTCCTAATGGATCTAGGTGATGATGAGCAAAGGCTGCTAAAATAATTAGATGAGGGCGCCTGGGTGGCTCAGTTGGTTAAGCGACTGCCTTCGGCTCAGGTCATGATCCCGGGGTCCTGGGATCAAGCCCCACATCCGGCTCCCTGCTCAGCTGGGAGCCTGCTTCTCTCTCTCCCTCTGCCTGCCACTCCCTTTGCTTGTGTGCATGCACTCTCTCTCTGTGTCAAATAAATAAATAAAATCTTTAAAAATAATAAAATAAAGTAAAATAATTAAATGAAAGGCTGATGGGGAAACTAATGAATGAATGTGCTAACAACACTTAAAACACAGTGATCAATCCTAGGAGCACTAAAAGTGGGACAGCCAGACATGTATGCGGGTTGCAATAGGAAATAGTGAACACCATGTGTTTTTGGCACTATTTGCCAAGAAAACTGAACCTGAATCTCATCAGCCTCTAGAATAGTACTATTTAATTCAGTAACCACTACCCACATGTGACAATTTAGCACCTGAAATGTGACTGGTCCAAACTGAGATGTGCTGTAAATATAAAATACATGCTGACTTCAAAGCCTTAGTATGTAAAATATTTCATTAAAATTTCAAAAATTTAATTACATGTTGAAATACCATTTGGGATATTTTAAGTCACAAAAATATATTATGAAAATTAATTTCCCCTATTGCTTTTTTTTTTAACTATAGCTACCAGAAAATTTTAAATTATATGTGCGACTCACATTACATCTCTATTGGACCATATGTCTCTTAATTCAACCACAAGTTTACAGGAAATACAGATGATGAAAGAAATGTTATATAGCACCATGGGAACACGATCAGCCAAAAGCACATACCATACACATCTAGGAAATTCTAAAGGATAATTCAAAGTTTATGGGTGAAATGATGTCCTATTTGGAATTTGGAAAGAAAGGGGGGGAAGGATGAAACAAAAATGGCAAAATGTTTATTACTACTACTGCTGAAGTTGAAAGATGCTATATGAGAGTACATTATTCTATTTTCATACATGTTCGGAAAGTACCCCCTAATAAAAAGTTAATCCAAAACCCACAGGTAATTCCTATTCATTTTTCAGGCCCAAGCTTAATTGTTACTTCTTCAGGGAACCTTTCCCTGACCTAGCATTCTCACCATAGCCAATACATTCCTTTACAATACATTTAGTAAAATACACTTAGTATTTGTGTTACTGTCTAATATCTGTAGCCCTCACTACACTAAATACTTTCTGTTAACAACAAAAATCTTAGGCCTCAGATACTAAGTATCTTTCTAAATTCCATTAGTAATGCCACTCTCCCACTGAGAAAGAGAGAGAATATGTATGAATTAGTGACCCACTACTGCCTATTAGAAAAACTGCATTATTTTTAGTCTGGCACTTAAGACTACCCATAATCTGAGTTTTAATCTTATTTTCAGCCTTATCTTTCACAAAACCACTAAAGCTCTTCACTGTGGTCAAACTGTACCAAACATGCTGTTATGGGCTGAAATCCATAATTCTTATATTGCCCCCCCCATTCTTATGTTGAAGTCCTAACCCTCAGTATTTTAAAGATTTTATTTATTTATTTGAGACAGAGAGAATGAGAGACAGAGAGCATGAGAGGGAGGAGGTTCAGAGAAGAAGCAGACTCCCTGCCGAGCAGGGAGCCCAATGCGGGACTCGATCCCGGGACTCCAGGATCATGACCTGAGCCGAAGGCAGTCGCTTAACC